CACTAGATTAAGATATTTTCTAAAGCACTCTAATGCCTCAGATTTGTGGGAAATCAGGTAAGTATAGTGATATCGGGAAGAATCATCGATGAAGGTAATAAAATACCATGCTCCGTGACGTGCCCTAACACTCACTGGTCCGCAAATACCAGAGTGTACCAGTTCAAGAGGGTGGTTAGCCCTGGTTGCCTTTCCGAAAGGTTTTCTTGTGCTCTTGCCAGCGAGGCAATGTTCACACAGAGACATTTCCTTTTTGAACATGTTTCCTACAAACCTCTTTTGCCAATTTGGTCATGTATTCTTGACTAATATGTCTTAATCTAACGTGCCATATATCGTAATTGACATCAGAAGAAAGTGCATAGCAAGAACTAGAAAAATTGTCATTGAAATTCTCTAAAACAAAGAAACCATCCGAAACATAACCAGAAACTGAAAAGTTGGTCCCATACGAAATGTCTACTATGAAATCACGAAAAAAGACATTGAAATGAAATTTAACTAAGGGAATAACAGACACAAGATTTCGTCAAATTTCTGGAGCGTAAAGGACATTTTGCAAGACTAGGGTTTTTCCTCCATGCTGGGTCAGCTCACAAGTACCGATCCCTTTGACTTCTACTCTCGCGTTGTTTCCAACATAAACCATCTGCTTCTTGCTGGTAACCGACAAAATTCTGTGAAGTTGCCACGATCTTTGCTCATGTGGTCTATGGCCCCTGAGTCTATAACCCAAAGAGGATTAGTTTCAGTAATAAATGCAATGCTAGAAATATAAAAGAAATGTATCGAATTTAAATCCAATACCTTTTTCTACTCAGGACAGTCCTTGGCATAATGCCTTTTCTTTTGGCAAGCATAGCATTTGATGGTTGCTATGTTCTGCTTCTTTGCAAGTTTCTTGCCTTTCTTGAAGGAATTCTTTCCCTTCTTCACTTTAGGGCCGCCTTTCTTATTTTGAGAGCCTTTGCTTCTCTTGGACTGGTTTTGGGAGGTTGCCCCTCCCTTTCTTTTAGTTAAATATGCCTTACCAATAGGTTTCACAGTTTATATTCGGTCATCCTCCAGTTGGAGGTGGTGAGCTACATCAGCAAATATTTTTATACTCTCGTTATGAGTAATGGTATGCTTCATGGTGTCCCAACTTGCTGGGAGAGATCTCATGACAGCTTGAATCTGTTGCTCATCAGATAAGGTGCCTTCGGCTTCCTTATGTTAGGATTATAGTTTTGATGATAACAAAGTTAGATTAATTGGGTTAAGTATGTTGATCGATCATCTGATCAATCAATCGTTTATCGCTAAGTTTTCAGATAACTGCTCAGGTATAAATCAGTTTTATAGTAGGTGTTTTGATCGAAGATCTATCCGATAAGTTGTTGATCGATAAAATGTTCGATTATCGCTAACATGGAAATCACACAAGGTTACGGTTAATTATCGATCACCTGATCGATAACATCAGATAAACAATCGAGTTACTGATAAAGAGAACCAAATCTGAAGTGTATTTATCGATCACATGATCGATAAATCAGTTATCAATAACGACTTCGATAAGAGGTAACACAATCTACTCGTTCTGCACATTAATTCTGTTACCATTTATCGATCATATTTTCGATCATTTGTTTATCGATCACATGATCGATCATTATGCTCTAACTCTCTGAATGCAGGTAATCATCTTAACTGCTGGATCGATAACCTTATCGATCATAAAATTATCGATCACATGATCGATAATCAATGTCTTTATCTACTCTTATTTAGTTTTTCTGCAACCAAATTATCGATAACATTATCGATAATTTAACTTGTTTGCATAATATCTTTTCACATAACATGATCGATAAAGAGTCTAAGGATTGCTATATTCGCATTAACTTATGTTGAACCATTTTCGATCACCTAATCGATCATTGACTTTTCGATAATATGATCGATCATCCAATTTCCTAAAACTCATGTTTTCACAAAACGTGATCGATAATCAGTTTCTTTACCTTACAGGATTAAATTTCTTTTCTCACTTTATCGATCACTTGTTCGAATATTCATTGATCGATCACCTGTTCGATCATTTCAGATAGTCTGTGTCTTTCACTGAATATATTCATACTCATGGTTTATCGATAACCTTATCCATCATCCATTTATCGATAATTTGTTCGATCATCAATGACTGAAGTTTCATTTCCGTAACATTTGAATTATCAATAATGTGTTCGATCATGGAACGATTTTCGTTTACCATGATAATTCTTAAAGTCAATGATCCAACACTTGATCGATAATATTGATCAACTGATTCAAAAAGCTTTCACTCTATTTATCGATAACCTGATCGATCAACAAGTAATCGATCACCACTTCGATCAAGCATATGCAGAATGTCTTTCTGCTCTTTTTACAGATAAATCACTTCGTCCAAAATCATTAAATGATAAATTCGTTTTCTCTTCTTAGTTCATGACTAAAGCTTACTCCGCAAGACTCTTACTTGTTCAAAGTTTAAAATATGCAGATCACTAAGAAAGACTGCAACGGCTCTTCAACGAGATTACGTAAACTGCAACCTACAGTGTCAGAAGCTAAGACGCATTAATGGCGGAACCGTTGAAACCGGCGAAACACGCAAATGGAGTCACAACGGCTAGAAGCTCTTCCGTCTAACGGCTACTTAACGATCTCAACTATAAAAGGCGCGAAGAAGCATTAATGAAGGAATTGAATACCGGAACTACCACCTGTGATTATTAAGTCTAGCATTCAATACTCTGTTTTCCGCAATACTACTGAGCATCAGTGTTCATCATTAAATTCACTCTGTAAGAGAGCCGATAACTACTCTTCATTAAATACTATTGAGTGATACTCAAGAGTGTGGACTCTTGAGAGGGCTTGTATCCTTACGGGAGTAAGGGGGAGTGATTGAGCGATTCAATTACTGTACCGAGGCACCAAGAGCCCTGTCAATCTTGGAAGATAGTGAAATACTCAGAAGTGTTCTGAGGACTGGACGTAGGTCAAGTGGTTAAGACCGAACCAGTATAAATCTTGTGTCTTCCCTCTTCGGTGAAATCTCTCCTGACTCTGACTCTCTGTTTTTCAATACTATCTCGTTTTAATTTTTAAGTTTTTGTAACTCACTCAATTCACCCCCCTCTTGGGTGAGATTGATTCTAACACCTTAAGCTCCCTGATCAAGTTCTGCATTGCCCTTAGATGATGCCTTATAGGAGTGTTAGGATTCAGCTTGAAATTACCAAGTTTGACGGTGAGTCTCCTAAGCCTTACAGCAGAGGTACTGTCAAATTCGGATTTCAGCGCTACCCACACAGCAGAGGTGGAAGGGTGTGTTTCGAGTTGCACCAACACATCGTCAGTCATGACACTTGGCATAGTAATTCTGGCGATAGTATCCTTTCTTTTCCAGGCCGCGTAGCCGTCCTGGTCCCTTCGTGATGCATTTGCCTCAGGCTCTAGAAGAAAAGTTCTCAACACATCAGTGACTTCTTATTCTTTGAGGACATATGATATCTTACGACGTCACATGTTGTAATGGTTTCTGTTCAGCTTGTCACCTCCTATGAGGTCAGCTATGACGGACTTGATTCCTCTTTGAGACATCGTGCTGTCACATAGACAACAATACATTTTAGTATGGTATGCAACATACACGTTATTCAAGTAGGTCATAGATCGTCCGAGTAAGAGTCTTTCCATTTTCATGATCAAGAGACAACTAGGTTGGCTCCCATCCCATTACTCCTGGTTAGCCTCTCACCTTTCTTATCTTTCACTTTCCTTAAATATATTCCCAATTTGAGTTTTCCTCATGAAATTCCCACTTAAATAAAGCATTTATAATAATAAAAAAACTTGATTAACGAAGCATAAATGTTTATAAAGATTTGGATAATCTAAAAATAAAGTCTCAAAGATTAAACATGAAATGAAAAGGAAAACATAAACACAAACAAAAACTCATTCATTTATGATGTATTTTATTATGGGTTCTCTTAAACTCTCTTTAACGTCTTTACAGCATCTTTAAAAAATCCTTCAGTAAATATGTGTCCCCTCCTTGCCAGTTTCTCTCTGTATTGGATTATAATGTTTGAGAAAAAAAGTGCGTCTTGCTCATTGATAATTTGTTTAGCATAATAGCTCAATTTTGAAAACAGACATTTTTTATACTTGTATTCATCAGCATGCTCTGATACCAATGTGATACCAATGTTAGAATAAATAGAGAATGGATCGGAAACGTATCGGGTCAGATCTCGGGTCGGGTCAGGTCGGTCGGATCTTCTTAGCTCACGCTTAAGCTAGAATATAAAAGTTTAAGCTTTTGAGTGCACAACAGAGCACTTCTTTGCAAGAAATAAGAGAGAGAGAGTAGGAAAGTTCAATTACTGGAGTGATTTGAATTGATGGGGGGAAGCCTCTATTTATAGCTTTTGTCAGGGGTATTTTGGGTAGCCAAAAATATCTACTGAACCCATTAGATAAAATCTGAAATAGGATATATAAATATATTTTTATCTCATAATATCATGATATTTGAATTTAATATCCAGAATTAATCACAATTAACTCTAAATATATATACTTAATATATATTTAATCTATACAATATAAATTAATTAATTTATTATAAACTAATCAGATTTATATCGTAACCAATTGGATATGATTCAAAGTGTTTGACCAAGTCAAACATATCACAATATCGCTTGGATATTTGACTGGTATATTCCCTTTATATCCGGTCAAATAATCCGACCCATTAAGAGCAGATCCAAACCCAAAATCTAACAAATATATTATATATATATATATATATACACAAGCGCGCGCATATATATATAGAGAGAGAGAGACGCGCACAATACGGGCGGCGGCAAATAAATTGGGGCCGGTCTAACAGGCCATAAACGTGAAAGGTCACAGTGATGCGCTTGTGCTATTCTCTCCCTTGTCAGCCGTGTTGGTTTCATCGAAGAGCTGTCGAAATGACCTCGTTTTGAAGGCAGCGGATACAAAAAAAATAGAGGAGAGAAGCTGAACCCCAATCGTAGAGGCTCTCTGCTGAACAATGCTGATGTGACTTAACGTGGCAGTTAAGCCTTAAAATGCACGACATGGAAAGACGAATTCATGGTGGGCGAAGAGCGAAGCAGGACAGCTTACAAGAGACGCTAATTTGGGATGAAGAGCTAGGGGCTCGGCGGGACCGGTGAAGGAGAAGAAGAACTTCTGAGGTTATTGTGTCTTGTTTGATATATTTGTGAAATAAATCTTGTTCCTCCTTTGATGCAGGAGGATTAGAATTTAGGGTAGGGTTGGGAGCGCTGTCGAACTTCATAAATGAATTGAGAGGGAGATGACAAACAAGAAAGGATCTAGAAGTTCTCATATCTTGAATAGTCATTTTTCATGTTAACTTCACATCACACATCAATACAAGATACTGCAACGTGAACTTGTGCCCAGTCCCTGTTGTATCACTCTTATGATTTCTCTTATAGATCAATGCCTGCCATCTAGGATTTCTCAGCTTGCCTACAGACTCACATCACCGCTTGCTTTGATTGGAACATCATACACTACTTTTCACGAATATGAAGAAAACTCCACACATTGCGACCCTTTTAAACTCTTCAATGATCACAGAATGTCGAGACAGCCCAGCATTAGAAAGACAAAAATCTTACACGCCCGTCTGCTTAAAATTGATGCATTGCAATCCAATGTATTTTTCATCAACTCTTTGCTCGGCGGGTACTGTAAATCTTCTGCCATGCTTGTTGCCCGCAAGCTGTTTGATTCAATTACTCTTCCAAATATTCATTCATGGAATATCATGATATCTGGTTACAATGGCAATTCAATGTTTGAGAAATCATGGGAGATATTTTGTCAGGTGCATTCATTTGGTAAGGAGCTAAATGAGTTTACTTATGGGAGTGTTCTCTCAGCCTGTGCTGCCTTGCAAGCTCCAGCATTAGGTAAGCAAGTTTATTCACTCGCAATGAAAAAAGGGTTTGTTTCTGATGGTTATGTTCGTACTGGGATGATAGATATGTTTTCCAAAACTTGCAGCTTTGAAAAGGCTCAAAGGATATTTTTTGATGTTTCATGTGATAACGTGGTTTGTTGGAATGCTGTAATTTCTGGGGCAGTTAGAAATGAAGAGTACTGGGTTGCCTTGAATCTTTTTATTCAAATGTGTCGTCAATCACTAAAGCCAAATGGCTATACGTTTCCAAGTGTTTTAACAGCATGCTGTTCACTTAAAGAACTGCAGATTGGGAAAATCATTCATGGGCGGGTAATAAAATGTGTTGCTACAGATATTTTTGTGGATACCGCCATTGTAGATTTATATGCCAAATGCGGACGTATGGATGAAGCTGTTAGGAAATTTTTGCAGATGCCAATGCATAATGTGGTCTCCTGGACTGCTATAATTTCTGGATTTGTGCAAGAGAATGATTCGATTTCTGCACTGAAGTTTTTCAAATGTATGAGAGAAACAGGGGAGGAGATAAATACCTTCACTGTTACTAGTGTTCTTGCTGCATGTTCCAAGCCAGGGATGATCGAAGTGGCAAGCCAGATTCATTCCTTAATATTAAAATTACCTTTAATGTTGGAGGCAACTGTCCAAGCTACCTTGATCAATACGTATGCTAAAATAGGAGAATTTGGGCTTTCTGATTTAGCCTTCAGTGAGATAAAATATGTGAAAGATGTGCGCATATGGGCAGCAATGATGTCTTCTTGTGCTTACAATCGAAATTCTAGAAAGGCAGTTGAATTATTTCTGTTTATGTTACAAGAAGGTGTTAGACCAGATGAGTATTGTATGTCTGTAGTGTTAAGTATTATAAGCTGCTTATATATTGTGAAACAGATGCATAGTTACACTTTGAAGTCTGGACTGGTCACTAATGCTACGGTAGGTTGTTCACTTTTCACCATGTACTCTAAGTGTGGTTGTTTAGAGGAATCTCATAGAGTTTTTGAGGAAGTTCTTAACAAAGACAATGTCTCATGGGCCTCAATGATTGCCGGTTTTGTTGAACATGGCTATGCAGATCATGCCTTTCAGCTATTTAAAGACATGCTGTCTCAAGAGGTTTTACCTGATTACTTGACCTTAACTGCAATTGTAACTGCATGTTCTGCTCTTAGTTTTCTACAAACAGGTAAAGAAATACATGGTTATGCTTTTCGTTTGGGAATGGGAACGGACACAATTATTGGTGGTGCACTTGTGTCCATGTACTCAAAATGTGGAAGGTTGGAGCTAGCAAGGAGGGTGTTTAATATGCTACCTCAAAAGGATGCTGTTTCTTGTTCTTCCTTAGTCTCAGGATATGCCCAATATGGCTTAATTGAAGAGGCACTTCTGTTATTCCGTGATATGATCTTCACCGATTTACCCATTGACACCTTCACAATTTCATCTGTCCTCAGGGCCATTGCACTATCAAATAGATCAACAGTTGGGACGCAGCTGCATGCCCACATTGAAAAATTGGGCTTACAATCGAATGCGTATGTTGGTAGTTCACTTGTGACCATGTACTCAAAATGTGGAAGTTTGGTGGATTGCTGCAAAGCATTTGACCATATTGAGAAGCCCGATTTGATAGGTTGGACAGCGATTATGGTGAGCTATGCTCAACATGGTAAAAGTTCTGAAGCCTTAGCTACCTTTGAACTTATGAGAAAAGAAGGCATTCAGCCTGATGCAGTAACTTTTGTGGCAGTGTTATTGGCTTGTAGTCATAGTGGGCTGGTTGAAGAAGCCTTCTTGTATCTTAAGTCGATGGTCAAAGACTATGGCATTAAGCCTGGTCGTCGTCATTATGCTTGTATTGTTGATCTTCTTGGTCGATCAGGTAGGCTAAAGGAGGCAGAAAACTTAATTAACATTATGCCTGTAAAGCCTGATGCTTTAATTTGGGGAACACTCCTTGCAGCTTGTAAGGTCCATGGTAATTATGAGCTTGGGAAGTTAGCGGCCCAAAAAGTAATGGAATTGGAGCAATGTGATGCCGGGGCTTATGTCTCATTCTCAAACATTTGTGCGGATTTAGGACAGTGGGATGAGGTCCTTAGGATTCGGGAGTTGATGAAAGGATCTGGGACGAATAAAGAGCCTGGTTGGAGCTTTGTGTGAGGAACAACTATGTCATGATGATTGACCTGTTTTATTTAATGGTTTTGACGGCTTGTATCAGCGTACTATTCGGCTTGTATGATGCACTGGATTATTAGAGTAGGAAATGGGAATGGGGAAAAATAAAAAGAATTATGGTAGACTTCATTTCCGATTTCCTTGGGAATGAGGATTACATCCTCATATGATATATAATCTCATTTCTGGGAATGAAATCTATTTTGCCAGTATGTTTCCATAAATTTTTCTAATAAAAAAATCAAAATCTATTCAAGCTCTCAGGTCTCATCTCATCATCATGCACATACCAGATACGTGGGTTCTCTAATTAACGAGTACAGCTTTATAGTTTGGCTCTTCAATCTGTTTATTTATCTACCCTTGAATTCTGTTTCATTTTATCACCGCAAATCTTTTATTCGCATGAGCATTTTTATATCCACTTCATTTGCCGTATAACTCAGTGGAATGGAACATGAATATTTTCATTTTACAACTCAGCAAGATATCAATAAAATGAAAATAGAGTATGGAATCATATGGTGCCCAAAGACTACAAAAGGCTTGTGTGCATCTATATTTATTAGTTTTTTTTTTTTTGGGAGCTGAAATGTATCTAATATTTATTCAAAATGTTATTTTTCCATGCTTTTTTAATGTTTTTGATATCCATAAAGCATCCTGAATGGCATTGCTATGACAATTTTAGGATTTTGTGACATTTAAATTACCGAAACATCTTAGATAACGTTAAAAGTGAACTAGAACATACAACTTTTTGCATTGGATCAATTTCCTATTACGGGATAACCACTCGTAATATTTAATCGTACACAAGGGCAAATTTAGAAACAAAAATTTGATGCCAGGATTTGTTTTTTTTTTTTTGGGTGAAAAAGGGGGTAAAGCTCAATTACATACGAACTATTCTCGGTATGCCACTTCCTTGACTGTCCTCTTGCAGAATTCGCAAGACTCCATGAGGAGTAGTCCAGATCATCTTTTTTTCAATATGGTGGCTGATAGTAGCAATTTTATCTGCACAGCGATTACTTTCACGATAGATGTGGGAAAATCTTACACAACATGGTCGATTTACAATTTCATTGAACTGTGGTTGTAGATGTGCATGACCAGCAACTGGAACATTCTTGTGCGTCGCCTCGATGACGTTCACTGCATCACATTCTACCTCTATTTTATATCCCAGCAGATTCGAAGACCTTCAAGTATTCCAAGAACTTTTGCTTCCACTGCATCATATCTACCCAATTGTATGGAAAATCCTCTCAACGATTCTCCACAATCCCCCCTTATTACTCCACCCCATCCTGGTCCTCCTCTTTGAGATACTGAACCGTCTGAAATTAATTTACACCAGCTTCTCGGTGGAGGCTTCCACGTCACCAAGACAGATTCTTCCCTTGCACCTTGTAACGCATCAAAGCATCTCCCATGATTATACTCCGCTAGAAATTTGTAAGTACTCTGAACTCTATTCACTGGAAGCTCTACTTTTGGGTTATGAACTTGGGTATTTCTCCATCCCCATGTAAACCAGCAAGTCACTGCAAATATATCATTCCATCTCCACTGCTCAGCTCTTCCTTTATCACTTACCATATTTTGGTCCAGCCATGTATTCCATTCAGCACCGAAGAAGTTGATATGTTTATCACTCGAAATAATCTTTCTCCAAATCGAATTAGCATGAAGGCAGTCTCTGAGAGTGTGAATTAACCTCAGTCTCTCTTTGACAGAGCGAGCATACCCCAGTGCTATCATCCCAAGCTTTTGTGATGGCTCTAGTTGTCAGTCTCCGATGAACAACGAGCCACATGAAGACTCTAATTCTCTCAGGGACCCTCAACTTCCAGACACGTTTCCAAAGACGTGATTGTGTAGTTTCTGGATTAAGGAGCCATTTGTACGCAGAGGCCGTAGTAAGAGATCCGTCTTTGTTAAGGTTCCACTTGTACTCCACACCCCTACCCTCAGCCTCACTATTCCTGAGTTCTATTTTCTCTTGACATTTCCCCCATAATTTCCAAACTCCTTCCAGAGCCTCGAATCACTCTGTTTTACTCCCACCGGTCCATTACGATTCGCCCTCCCTCAATATTTGCTCCGAAGCAGCTGTACCCAGAGTTCCTGTGGGTTATTAAAACTTCTCCAGATTATTTTACACAAGAAAGTCTCATTCATACATGGCAGAGATCTGATACCCATGCCTCCACTTTCTTTTGGTTGACACATCCTATCCCAGGAGACTGCATGCCACGCCTTTCTTTCCTCAGAATCTCCCCAAATAAAGCCACGCTCCTTCTCCAATTCTGTGATGATTCCTTTGGGGAGTTTATCATGCTGTGTAGGATATTAGGCCATCGAGCTCACTACGGATTTGACTAAAGTAATTCGACCCGCCAAGGATAAACGTGAGACCTTCCATCCTTGAGTCTCTTCTGCCCTCGTTCCACTGCAACTTTGACTTCTTACGTTTCTTAGGGAATGATAGCTCCACCTGCTTGAAATTGCTTCTCATGCATATTTACTGTAACATCTTTAGTTTATTACCATATACAAGTCAAAACGTATCAAAGGGAACCGTATTGTATGACATTAGGCTTAGAAAATCGAACTTTGAAAAATTACCTTTTTGAGTTACAATTTATTTAGTAACCCTAAAATGTTAATCAACTTTGAAAATTCATAACTAATTGTAGAAAAATTGAATTGAGGTTGTTCTAAGTTTTATTTGATGTTCATTTATTTCTCTACACAGAAAAAATACTCATTCTACCATTTGTGCAAAAAGCATTGTTAATTTGATTAATTTTTAATTTCTAGTTTTTTTACTATAATTTTAAAAATTTATAACTTTTAGCACATAGCTTCAAATAAGATAATCTGCCACTCTATTTGAAGCTTAGAATGTGAACTTTAAGCTCACCAAATCTTAATGCCATATCCCATCATTTGATTAGAAAAGTTGTAGCCAAAAAATCATAACTTTTCCAATATTTCCAACCTTTTTAATTGCATTATCTTGTGAAATTCAAACCATAACTTTGCAATTTACCTAGTATCATTTGTACTACCACTAACTTATGCATAGTGATACTTCCCAAAAGGTTGGAGCATTTCCCGTACAACCATTCATCAAAGTATACACAAATTATATAACATCATCGAACATCTCATTGCATGACATTACATGTAAATTTCCTCGTGCTTTGAAATCCTTCCTTTTATCCTTTGAAAAGCCAGCCCCTTTGTATCAGTTGGTTATAAAAAGGGTGAGATTTCAAAGAAATTTCAGTAGCAAAAATAACAATTATCATGCTAACAATGCACAATTATATCATGTTAAATGCAATCAACATTTTCATGCATTCTTATATAATATCATGCCATGGAAATGGAGCATATAAACATACCATTAAAAAACTCAATTCTACACATTGCTAAGGCATAAAATGCAAGAAGTTAAAGATATTACATCATAGCTAACTTAATCGCATCATGACATAAAAACACATAGCATAACAACCAATACAAATTAATACTAAAATTGTACATTCTTGCTACCTTGCTCAAACTCTTGCGTTTTGCTCTCTTTCCTTTGTTCTCGGGTCTCCTCTTACCCAAGATTAATGCCTATCAATGACACAATAAGGGCATTCTAAATGTCAACTCAATAACATCATTAAAAACTTAACCTAAAAACCCCAACCCTTTATCTTTGATTTTAGGGTTTTTATATCACCTTTCTTTACATAACTTCCACATGCTTTTCCTATATAATTTTTCATGTAGAATCTTTATTTGAATTTAGATTCATCAAAATCCAACTACTTCCCTTAGAGTATTTGGCTCCAAAAATTCTATTTTCGATTTTATTGCTTCCAAACACATTTTCTCAACATATATGCTACACAATTTCGTCTTCTAAATTCAATGGAAGTATCAAATCATGCCAAAACATATACTTAAGGGTGATGTGTTAAAATTTTTCCATAAATCAAGTGACAAAACAATTTTACAACTATTTTCCATGCTCTAGTCCCTATGCCATATTTTAATCATTCATGACAAGTTGTATGGCATTTTGGGTAGCATGGTGTCATAGGGTTTTTAGGCATTTTTCTCCATCTAAATCAATTCCAAAAACAACTACTAATCAAGTTAATTAAATCCTTAATGAAAGCCTTAACTTACATTAAATTGCTTGAAGTTAGCTTGGTTTCCTTCTTCCCCTTTCTCTTCCTTTGCTTCAACTTAAGAGTAAAACCTTCATTCCCTTCTTTTGTCAATTTTGGCAAAATTTTTCACTACTAGGGGGTGTTTATGAACAAATTTTTGGCCATAGGTTTCCTATTTTTCCCTTGGTGAATTGTTAAAATTCTATTGTACACTTGTTTTATGATCTTGTCTTCCCCTCTGTCATATCCTAATTTTTAGGCCTAGAAGCCCTAAGAGTAGCCCAAAATAGGTAAGCTACTAAGCCTCTCAGACCAAAAATCCTAAAAATGAAAAAGGAAGTCAAAGCAGTTTTATGGACTAAACTATAAAGTAAGAAAGTTACTAGGAGGCAAACATATACGTAATGTTGAGGTTCCAAGAGAGTCTCAAGGACCCAGAAAGAGAAAAGATGCTAGAAACAGGCCAAAGGTTAAGTTAGAAGCCTCAAAGAGATGTTTTATGAGTTAAGTCTAAGCAGGGACTAAATCATAATTTCAGAAAGTTACAGGCCAATGGGAGTAAAAATGAAAAGTATACAGAAAATGTCAGGAAAATCCCAGAAAATGGAAAATAACATTCTAAAGTCTTTTGTGAAAAGAAATGATAAAAATACCCCTAAGGCAACCAAAATGCAATTTATAAGATTGTGACCTGGTAAAAAGTACACCGATTGAGGTAATTATTTGAGATAGTAAGAGATCTAAAAAATATACGTAAAAATGAGGTTAGGAAGCTTAAAGGCTATGATAATTTATAAAATTAGTCTCGCTTCTAGAAGATTAGCAGAATGGCTGGAATAAAATAGAAGGCTCAATTATGCCTGTTAAGGGCATTTTATTAAATGATTTTTATGCGAGGCTAAAAAGAAGTATTATGACCTGAAAATTCATAGATCTTCTCTAGAATTGAAGAAAATTTATGGAGTAGACAGAAAAATTTTCTGAGCTCTAGAAGGATATTAAGAAAGCAGAATAAATGTGAGCCA